CCCCAAAACCCCAAAACCCCAAAACCCCAAAACCCCAGGATTTAGTTTTACATTGTTGATAGGAATTCCAGAAATAAATAAAAATAAATCATTAATTAGGTTGCTAGAATTTTTTCTCAATTTTGTGCAAATAATGAGAAAGCTAATTTTTCATCAAAGGTTAGCCAGTCTTAGTCTTTGCCTGCATTTTGCTAGCATATTTCTTTTTTTCAAGCAATTTCTTCTTCTTCTCTTTTTCTTTTTCTTCTCTCTTTCTTAGCTATTCTTCTTTCAATTTCTTTATTCTCTCTAGTTCATTATTAAAAGTCTCCTTCTTCCTTGGCTTTTGTTAGTTCTGATTTTATTGCCCTTAATTATCATCATTATCTAATTGAGCATTCTCATCCTCATCATCTTTATTCTAAATGTCATTTGCTTGTTAAGCTTTCTTTAGCTTTTTATTTAGCTTAGCTTATCTACGACGATCTTTCTAATCTTATTATTCTTTCTCTGATGCTTCATCCTTCATAAAAAGAAGTCTATAGAATTCTTGCTTTTTAGGATCCAACTCCAATTCTTCTTTTGCTTATTCAGTGGGTGCAATTACTCCTCCCTGCTCTATTTTTTCCTTTTCCTTAATATATTGCTTCTTGATCTTGTTATTCTCATTTTTTTCTACACGCTTTTTGTATTGCTTACGCTTCCATAGCATCACATTTATCTGATCTGGGTCACGATCTACACCATGAGGTAATCCATAGACTCTATTGGGCTTATAGTCAGAGCTTTTATTTAAGGCCTGAGTACTCATTAAATATTAAAATTTATTAATATAAGTGATAAATAATTGTATTCGTTAACAATAAATAAACTATAGTCTGAAAATGTCACTAAGATTAAAAAACCAGTATCCTCAAACTTCCTCAGCCTATATTCAAAAATAATAGCCTGCATCATAATTACCACCTTAGCATAGCAACACCAGAAATCATTCCAAATCTATAAATAGGTATCAAAGTCATTTAAACAACAATGATCAATAGAATTAGAAGCAAACTGATAGCTCTCTCATCAATAAATCAACTGAAATGTACTAATAAAATCCTAAATAAAATCATAAGAGACAACGAAGCCAGAGTAACTCAAGCATTCTACTTAATATCAATAAAAGCAATGGAAGAAATGGTATTTATACTTCTAAAATGAAGCATATGGATAGCACTAAAACGATACTGCCATATAAAGATGAAACAGATAAAAGTGAACAACCTAGCATTCTATTTACACCTAGATCATTTAACCTCGAATCTGAGCCACCTTAAATGACTGAGAAAAAGTAAACTCCTTTTGAGCAACAAATGCTCAAACCCATGATTTTATAACTGTCTTAATGCCATGTTGATAGTAAAGGCCAAGACATCCTGGACCCTGAGAATCTGAATGAGACTCAGGTTCTTAACACCAAGAGACAGAATCTTTAAGATAATTAGTCCTTGAAAATGCATCAAAAGTAATCCAGATTAAATGAATAAGGATTTAATGCAGTTCAGAACTAAAAAAAGACCAAAAATATTATTAACAGTCATAAAATGTCTTAAGCTCACACTTAAAGCAACAGTATGAATTAGTCTAATCTACATAATTTTTTGCTCCCAGAAAATATGGTTCCTTCCTATGATGTAATTGATTTGACATAAGATCCAATGTAGTCTTCTTAAGATTATGAGATTTCATCAGATGAAGAGAGGATTGATACCTTCATAACTTAAGAGAAGGTGAGAGAGTCACTTTAACTTATCAGAAAATCTTATCAAGATTTGTAAGATTTGCAAGGAATTGATGAAAGTGTAGTACAAGATGAGTAAGAGGAATTCTAAACAAAAGACAAACTTAAAATTGTGAATGAAATCCCTAATCATAGATCATAGATGGCAATAGAAAGTAATCAGAATTAGAGAATAGAGAATGCTTACGAATCAGTAAATGTGAGAGACTTTGAAATATCTATTTCCAACAGAGGAAATTAAGCTCCTTTGGAAATTAATAATCTAAAAACCTTGCAATAAAGTTAAAATAATAGAGTGGCAAATGAATTATTTAGGTTGAAGAGATTTCCAAATGTAGTTTACTAATGCGATTTAACAGATGAAAATGAAAAAAATGATAAAGTAGAGGATTATGATGAGAATTATCAGACTAAGATGGAATAATAACAGAACAAGTCACTTATGAATTCAGTTTATAACAGGTTATATGTAAATGCTTAAGATCTCTAATTCAAGCAGGAGTTTTAGAAATAGTTCCAAAGCCAAATTGAGAAAATGAAGTATAGCAACATAAGAAATACAAGGACGACAACTTCCTATAGACATAGTGCTGATTTTGACATTTATAATGATGGCCCAAGAACCCACAGAAAAACAGCAAGCTAGTCAAGCATTAAGAAATTATATGAAGATTATCAACTCAGATAGGAAAAGAGTATTCTAGTAATAGAAGAAGTTGAAAGAAAGATTAGAGAAGATATGAATAAAATCAAATCAAACAAGAATTCTCATAATCTGGCATTGCTTAAACTTGAGAAAGATTTAACAAGCATTCTAAAGTACATGTCTCGAAAAGTAATCCCAGATGATAAGAGCAATCTTTTAGTTCCATAAATATTTAACCCTCTGTTTTACGAGGAAAATCAAAGAGATTAGAAGGCATTTTAAGAGCATATTTAGAGACAAATGGAGGAACTTAAGAACAAGAGAGAGCTCACTTTGTCAAAGCGTTAGCTTTAGGAATTTTTCGTGATCACTGGCGTTCTTAAATTCATTAATGAGAACATTGCTGAAAATTTGAATATAAAATAACTTGAAAAAATGAACTATGAGATTGAGTTTCTGGATAATATCTGGGCTATAATCAATATCAAGTACGATAGTGAAATTTAAAATCAATCGCAGACTGTCGAAATGGAATTCATTTTATAGCTATTTAAGATAATGTTTGATCCTTACACTACTTTCGAATAACAAACACACTTGATAATTGAATTAAGGAAAATTATCAAGAATATATTCCTGAAGAGCCAAATCAAAATTAATGATAAATTAGAAGCTTATCTTGAGAATTAAGACGACATTTAAATTTTTATCAGATAAACTATTGAAGATTTTAGGGAGATGTATGGCAATTTTTATAATATTGCTCATCTCTCAAATCTATAATACAATAGTAACAGAAGATCGATGAGTCCTACAAGAAGATCAAACTCTAGAAATGGTAAAAAGTATTCACTGCTATCAGATGAATAGTAATGTGTGTTTAAACCTACAACTAACAAAAAATCAGGTTAAATAGATCCTTTTTCCAAAGCTTAGTTTATTCAGCAAATTTTGAATTAGCAAAAGAATAATTGTAATTCAGAAGACATTGATGAAGAAGAGGAAAGTGTTTCAAACACCAAATCATAGCATAAAAAAACAATTAACATTCTAAACTCATCAAAAATTAGTGCAACTTAGCAAGCAGACTTAAATATGTTAAATTAAATTTCTATCTAGTAAAATACAGAACAGCCTCTGTTTACAATAACAGCTACAGAGGTAGCTGAGCAAACTAGGGATCGTATTCTCTCAGTTTTCTAGATAACTACAAGCTAGAAGAATAAAAACTCACCCTCTAGATAATAATTACTAGCACTTGGCTTCTAGGGATCTACTGATGACTCTAAGTAAACTTATATAGAGGATATTACTGATGATCAATCTAAAACTTAGTTTAATCACTTACATCATTTTGGACAAGGTACCAGTGGAAGCTATGACTTCAAAGCTAAACTTGATAGAAACATAATACTTTACGAGCAAGGTAAAATGCATAAGCAAAGACACCAAAGATTCTCTGAAAGTTTTAGAGAGGCTGAAGAAAGAAAATATACATACAAGCCTGATATTAATAAGAGCAAAAGCAGAAGTCCCATTCAATTTTATGGCTCAGAAGATAGTAATGTCAATGTTCATGAGAGACTGCATCAACTTTAAGTTAAGAAGGAGGAATAGAAAAGGGAGATGCAATCAATAATGGAAAAATCTTAGATAGCTCAGCTAAAATAGGAATGTCCATTTCAGCCATAGATATCGTAAGAATCAACTTTTATATTTTAATTGTGATATAGCCAAGTGGGATATGATAAAGAAAAGGTGAAGTCATAGACACCCAAGGGATTTGAAAAAATGATTTAAAGAATGAAGAATGGATAGGTCTTAAAAGAATAAAAAATTAAAGACTACAACAAGTAAGATAAGAACAATATTATATTAATTTTAGTCTTGGACAAGTTAAGAATTACTAAGGTGTTCCAACTATTCAAACTCCATTTGAGTTGAAGACATAAAAAAGAGATTAGATGAGGCAAGCCAAGAAGAGAAAGCCTTTTATAATCATTGAGATCATAATATCACCAGGTAAAATGGCTCATCTTCCAATCCATGACGGTGATGACCCACACATTTTATGCCAGAATTTCAGCAGAACTTACAACCTAGGCAAGTTGGCAAAAGATTCTCTGCTAAAGATATTAACTGGTCATCTCAAATAACATCAAGTGGAAAGGATGCAAAGACAATCATTGCTAAATAAAGATCTTGAGAATCAGTATGGAGTTCAAGATAATCAAGAAAGCTCTATCAATAAATAAGTTAGAATAAATTATGACCTAGAAAACTTAGAACATAGCAAAATTATTGAAGTATCAGAGACCAATGAATCTGATCATACTTCAAGAGTTGGAGATAAGGAAAATTATTTGTGAGACTAGAAAAGATAAAATGCGTTGAAAATATTGAGAGATGTAAACATCTGAAAATGAATGATTAGATTTATGCAGTTTGTGTAATATATTGTTAATAAACTTAATTTCATAATAAATGCAATCAATAGCTAAATATCAATAAAATAAACTGGAGACGAAGTATCTAACGAACAAGGCAAAGCAGCAACTTATGATCTATGAATAAATAAATTATTAATGCTAAATATTTACCTAGAAAATTAACAGAGAATTACATGCCTATTGTTCATTAGTAGGTCCAAAAACTCTTAAGAATGCATTTATATTTGTGAAATGATTGTGAACTGCTTCTAATCTGTATGTTTCATGGTTGAATTTAGGCAACCTATGTCTTGGGCAATGAATGATTCCAAAGATCTAAGGAGCTGAGAGAATGAAGTTAAACACTTATGGAATAAAGAAAAGAAGCATTGTCTTAGAAAAATGACCAAGGATTCCGACAACAGCAAAGGTCATACCTGCAAAATAGCAAAAGGTATCACCCACAAACACTTTAGATGGGAATTTATTATGCTATAGCAAGGCGAGTGTCATAAACAAGAATGGAACGATAATTGAAATTGAGAATATGTGCTAGTCATAAGATTATGGAGTTGCCTTCAAGTAGATTTCCTAATTAGTAGTTAGTATTATGTCAAAGTGAGATATCTTACAATAACATTGTGAATAAAGATAAAGCATCCAATAATAAAGCTCTAGCCAACTTCAATTCCATTTATTCCTGCATAAATGTTGATGGCATTTGTACAAAAGACTGCTAGCATACTCATGTAAAATAAGTAAATCATTCCTAGATCAATATTATTTCCTAGCATGAATCTGAACAGCTTTGGCACAACAATGTTAGTTAAGCCATTATAGGCAACGATAATTGGGAAAGTAGCAATGGTTGGTACTATTAGCTTATGTCTCCATTTCAAATCTAGCACATCATCTGCAAATCCAAGCAAAATGGACATACATATTGATAATAGCCCTGCGTTATATTCCACAAGCTATAATAAGTATTAATGAGATAAATTCTAAGAATGCAGCTTACTCTTTTATAATTGGTAGGTAGCAGAAGTTATTCATGAATGGTTATCATTAGAAATATGATGCCTATTATTAACCCTAATGCCTCCGGACTAAATTGATTTTGATTAAGGAATTAAAAAGGTATGCTTACACTTTAGGCTTTTCTTCTCTCTTCCCTGCTTTATTAAGATCAATTCCAAAGAGATTCTTGGTCTCTAAGTTTTATTTAAATGAATCAATTGCGTAGTAAGAGACAGTATAGCCTAAGATGGAAAGTATCAGAGTTATACCAATCACTTCCCTTAAATGCTTATCTTCAAATTCCAATAACATCACTGCAAGTGCGAAAGGTGCCCCAAAAGCAGTTAGAACAATAAAGTTCAAGGGAATATTGAATGGAAACCCTCTCTTTGAATTTTGCCAGATCTCTGCATCCATCTTATATCTCTCTTGAAGATCTTTGAGTGTTTGGTCTGAGGTGATTACTTTGATATCTTTTGACTCACTATTTTTATCACTACGTGTCTATGACATTATTATTTTAATCTGATATTTTATTATGTTCAACATTCTCATTTATCTCACTTAAGGGGTTTTGGGGTTTTGGGGTTTTGGGGTTTTGGGGTTTTGGGGTTTTG